GTCCCTTCTCCACACATTCACAGCAAAAAGTAAGGAGTAAATGATTAATATGAAAGAAAATCTAATACAGCATGTCTGTCGGCCAGCACTATCCCTGCAGTCAAGCATGGTGCTGGCAGAATCACAGTTCTGCTCAGCAGGGACTGGAAAGTGAGTTAGGACTAAAGGGAAACAGGATGGGATCAAGTAATCTGTTTCAGTCTGCTAGACTTAAGACTCGGCTCAAATTTCACCTTTCAGCAGGACAATGATCCTCAACAGAAAGCCAGAACTACAGTGGAGGGACTTCAGAATAAAAAAGTGTGTATCCTCGAGTGGCCCTGTCCAAGTCGAGACCTGAATCGTATTGAGAACCTACAGAAAGACCTGCAACTGCTGTTCATTAGAGATCCTGAAGCAGATCCTGACAAGAGTTTGAGCAAATGTGCCAAGATGAATGGGCATACACTGCACCAAGACGGTGTGCAAAGTTAAGACACACAAAAGACTTAAAGACGTTATTGCTGCCAAAAGTGCTTCTATCACATATTAAATTCATGGGTCTGAATGCTTATGTAATCTGATTTTTTTCGTACTTGTTGCTGATAGTTACTGTTGCTTACTGTATTTTTAGATGTTCAGGTTTTGAATACAGTTGTACAAAAAGTACAAAAATACAAAAATTGTGTACGTATCATTTAGTGTTTTCACAAAATAAGAAACCACAGAAATGAACAGTGAATACTACTGAAAGAAACTGTCATTTCTTTATGTTTTGTTCTGAGTGTTGTACAGTATATTACTGATCCAAACATCTGAACTCATTCACAGTGTAGTACTACACATTAGCCTTGCCTTGACATAATGCTCAGTGGTTAAGAATAATCTGCTTTGCTTAGTGGTGTGTAACCTGTCTGTTAAATCTGAGAACACTTCAGCTCCAAAGCATATTGGTACAGTACATGCCAAAACAGAAGATAAGAAAGATAAAAAGGCTGGGCCAGTCTGTTCTTAGAAAGGAAGAAAAGCAACTTACTTAAACCAACAAAACCTCGCATAAAAAAGGTCACAAACTCTCCTCCCAGAAGCCCTTAACATAATGCACACTTGCTTCAAAGTCTACGATGTGTGACCTAATTAGACATTACTCTTCCTTAGCTGAAAAATCTCACAGAGGCCTGCATTCTTCAAGGGCTCAGATGGTGAGGATGAAACATGCTATCGATTAACCACTGACTCACTGCCTGCTCCTCTTCAGTTCCCATGAAGTCAGCAAGGGCTTCTGGGACCAATATTGACATGTGTAATGAGAAAGTTTGGTCAACAATAGCACTGTGGCTCTGAGAGTATGAAGGCCCACTGAGAAAATTCACACCCTCATGTCTTTACTGCAGGCATCTTTGTTATCCTCTGCTCCCAAAGGGATCAGGCTATTCTGTTAAAACAGACCTCCGGGGCATTGAGGACAGGCTGCTCTGTGTTTGCACTGTAGAGCTTGCAGGCCTCCTGAGACCATGTGATTAGAGTGAAGCGACCCATTGCCAGCGATATTGAGGAAGGCGCAGTATGTAAATCCGACTATCATGACAATAGCCTGCCAGAAAAGCACTGGCATAAAACGAACGACTCTCACGAACGTTCCTTGCTTTGACAACCAGGGAAGTAAACTTCACTCAGTAGATTATTATGTGACAGCTGCCTACTGCGATGCTGTTGAATATAAAGTGCACATCTAAGCAAAAAGACGCTTTCCTTTCTTTGTGTTATTCCAGGTGTCTTGGAATCATCGGGCAATGGTGAATTACCTTTGAAACCCAGACAATATATTAGCATCAAAGGCTTTCTGGTTAAGGTGCTGCTACAGCGAGAGTCTGCACTCTACAAAAAAAGCTCTACAGTACAATCTAAATGCCCATTTAGAGTTCATTAGAGGGTGATTGTGACAAAGGCTGTGAGGGTATGTTTTAAGTTCGCAAACAGGTTCAGGTGGCAAAAAAGCTTTGAGCTCATTCAATGAATTAATTCCACAAATGAAATAGGAATTAAGAGCCAGTAGTGGCGTGCAGGGGTTCTTTCAAAGCTCTACAATAATGCTGAGAATAAATCAATCCAAATCTGTATTTTTAATCCTGATGTAGTACTGAGGTCCAGAATCGCCCACAACAGCATTGTTTACTTTTTTCACCATTAAGACAAACATGTACTGTACCTTCTGATATGTAAGCTATTTGATTATCTTTGTTATTTTTTTACAAGACATAAATGACTCTGTAGGTTCACTGTACTCATTTTACCCAGGAATCCAGAACTGCAGGCCAAACCTGTCCAGCTGTTTTCACACAAATTAAGAATATTTTTCCTTAAAAACATTACCTCACCTTTACATGACCTCACCTAAAAAAATAAACAAATGAGACTATGTTGAAGTCTTCACATTGCTAATAGTTCACATTAAGAGGAACCCTTACAAATATATTCACTTTAAGATGAGAAAGTAAAGTGTAAAACTAGGCTTGTGTTGTGTATGGTTTAGAGAAAGGTTTAAAATACATGCAGGCCATTTGAAAGGTGAAAATCAGTTGCATGACTGATAACGTTGATTTATATTAAGCAGAGCATGAAAATATTCCGGAGTGATGCGATATGATGCCCTGATAATATGCAGAGTGTGACATTAACAGGAGTGACAGAACGGCGACATCTGAGGCTGGAAACCTATCACAGTTTTCTGTACACCAGCTGAAACTTCTCCACTGCCTCCATTCCGAGCAATTCCCTGCACAGTTCTTCATGCCACTGCTGAAACAGGAGCAATAAGACAAGGACTTACAGACTGGATACTGTTTCTAAAACACCTAATAATGTTAGCCAGTAATTCTAACAAAACTGCACGGAGCAAAGTCATTTAAGTCCAGAAAACATTAGTGACATATTTATTCTTACCCCTGTAGGCAGTATTTTGTCAATCATCCTTGGGCAGGGATGACACAGACAAGATGTGCCCAGATAGATGTGTTTGATAATTATTTGTCTGGAATTCAATTAATGATTCATGACAAATATGACAGTGCTATGTGCAATGATTATAATTATTGCATAACATTATTAGAATTGTTTAAGTGCGACACATTATCCAATCCGTAATTCATTCTCTTATGTTACAGTATGCATTTTGTTCCTGTTTCATCTGGTGTTTGAAAAATCTGTTGGGCACTGTATACACTTACTGACACTACCTACATACAAGCAATCTAGAAAAGTGAAAAGAAATACTATGATCTTACAAGCACCAGGAAAATAAAATAGCTATTTTTCACAGCTGCTGTTAAATCACATTTTTATCACTGTTCAGTTCTGCTCTTCGAAAACTAGTTCTGAAGCACAGTTTCAGGAAGATTACGAATAATCTCGGAATTCCTATTTCATTAACTAAGAACACGCAAAAGTAGATTTGAAATGCTGTGCTCCACAATTTCTCCACAACATATCATTTTTATAGTTATAAGTATTATTACCAGACAAGACTACATACTAATACAGGTAAAATAACACCTCATTAGAAAAATTCAGAACAGACTTCATGGATATAAATATGAATCTGTGTCCAATTGCATTATAAGGCCTAGTGTAAGCATGTGTGATATTTCCTTGAGTTTATCACGCTGTAAATACACAGTCCTGTCGAGTTTCTGAAGGAATATGTCCTCAACCGGCCACCTGTTCAGTCTGTGCCTTTAGTTTCTGTGATTCATCAATGCAATTGCTGGTTTTATTTGTGTATGTAGACTGTGCTTTCAGAATCTCTGATTCATCCTGGTATTGCAGTCTTTATTTTGTTATCAAAGCCTATTTGATTTT